TGAGCTGTTACCTTCTGATCTGCTTTGCTGCCTATCTTTTTCTTTTCTGAAAGGGGGTGATAGCTTTTCCAAAAGGCAGAACTAAATAGTGGAGCCCTTTATTTCAGTTTTATCTGTCAGTGGAAATTGTGAACGGGCCTTGAAAGAAGTCGAGCAGGGCTTTCCATCTAATCCTCTATTGGTATTCTTGAAGATGCAAGAATTCGGGAGTGTTATTCCCTCACATTCAAAAGTGAGCTCTGATTCTGAATAGATTTTAAGCACGCGCGCGTGCGCACACACACACACACACACACACACACAGACACACACACACAGACTTTTAGCCTTCTTTGGTGCAGTGGCAGCATTCAACAGACCAAGAGGGCACCGCCCCAATACAGTGCACCAGATGCCATAATGAGTAACTCTTTGCGGTCAGTTCAGTTTCAGATCAACTTAGGGTAGGGGTGGGGGCTTGTTCCAATGCAAGGAAGATGATGGAGATGTGTTTTAGGGAAGCACTTTGATGCTAGTGGCATTGTGTGGCAGATTTTAATAGAGCAAGGAAAGTGCTCTGAGACCTACGTTTGTTCTGGTCAGCGTTGAAAATTGGGAAAACAATGTTCTAAGCTGCTCTGAAGCCCTGGAGTGACAGGACTTGAGCAGATCCCCCAGGTATCTATATGCAACCTGTCTTCTCCTACATAGCCCGTGGCAGGGTGGGGATTGATGGCCTTGGTCACACGTGGAAGGAGGCTGCCTTAAAGCATTAAGGCTTGTGATGTTTTCCTGCTGTGGTGCTGATGACAGGGCTACTACAAGGTTAGAGCCGGTAGTACCAATGTGAATGCTACTCCTATTAATAAGAACTGATATAAATTGCTTGCTTCCTGGTGCCAAGCTTGGTGCTGAGCACTTGACCTAAATCATGTAGTCACTACTACAGCTACCTATGAGTATATACTTTACAAAAAATTATTTTTAATTTTGGTAAAATACACATAGCATTTACATCTTAACCATTTGATTACAGCTCAGTAGTGTTAAGTACTGTCACCTGTTATGCAACCAATATCTCCAGAGCACTTTTCATCTTGCAAAACTGAGACTCTGTATCCATTGAAACAACTCCTCATTCTCTCCTCCTGCCACCCCCTGACAACCGCTCT